TATGCATGTTTTATTTGTAAGATAACCACCAAAAGGACAGAAATAGTGTGTAACTTATGGATCAATCAAACCCACAGAGATCAAGTCACTTCTAACTCCTGATAACTTTGTCAGATTCCCAAGGCTGCAAATCATAACAGGAACAAATAGCTCATCTTTCTCCTGAAGCACACAGCTGCCAGACTCATTTAGCACCCCAACATATAACCCACTACACCACCAGTGCCCCTTTCTTGATCAATCTCAGAAAATAAAATTTTAAAAAATCCCATTACTGTTGAGTCTAAACCAATTCATAGCTGACCCTTCAGTGGGTTTTCCTAGGCTGTAAACACCAACAAAGGAGAATGGCCATCTTTAGAGCATATACACAGAGTTACTGGTGAATTTGAGCTGCTAGATAAGTGTAGTCTTCAGAATAGCAGCATTTTTCCCTACAGAAAGTAACAAAATGGTTTAAAATCTATCCAGGAAATCTCAAAAGCCACAATAAAAAAAAAAAAGAACAAATGAAACAAAGACAATCAACAAATTAAGATGGTAAATTTAAGCCTGTAATCAATGACATTAGTCTGGACACTAAAGTGTGTCTGATCCAGGCCATGTCTTCACAACTAACTGCTTGCCTCCAAGAAATGGACAATGACTAAGGATGACAGAAGAAAGATCGAGGCCTTTGAGTGGTGGTGCTGGAGGAGAGTGTTGAACATACCATGGATTACCAATAGAACAAACAGGTCTGTCCTGGAGAGGGTGAAGCCAAGATGCTCCCTGGAAGCAAGGATTCTGAGGCTCTCTCTCACATACTTTGAGACCCGTCCTTGAAGAAAGATATCATGCTTGGAAGGATGGAGGGACAACCTAGGATGAGATGAATTAACTCAGTAATTGGAGAAATGGGATTAAGTCTGTCAGAGATGAGGAGATTGGCTCAGGATAGGGCAGGTTTGAGAGCTAATGTACATAGGGTCACTGTCGCAGGTGACTCGATGGCACATAACAACAACAAAAACATCCCAAAGGTCAGTGATTGAAGTCCACCAGCTGCTCTACAGGAGGATGGGGAATCTCCTTCTGTGCAATTTATTGCCTCTGAAAACCCGCTGGAGGGTCACTTAAGATTCAGTTCTGGGAAAAAGTATTCGGTAATAACATATCAGATAAGGGACTTATATCCAGAATTTATGAAATACTTGAGCACCACAACAAGATAAAGGTAAA